TGGTTAATTTTCCCTTTGGGGCCCCGCCCTGACCCCTGGGGTTGGAGCAGGAATCCCAATTTTATAAATTGATACCATCTTCCTTTCAGGATGATTCTCAATAAGTAAGATTAATTCCCTACTGAAAATGAACAAAATAAACCCAAAAGTGTTATTTCCCTATATTAACAAAAGTAAACTTCCCCCCTTCCCCAAGGAAGAACGCATCGTTCTATCCATGCAGAGAGATTGACTGTAGTACCTTTGAGTCCGAAAGAAGATTATTGAAATATTGATTAATTTTCAATTTGGGGCCCCGCCCTTGCCCCTGGAGTTGGGACAGGAAACCCAATTTTACAATTTGGTGCCATCTTCCTCTAAGGATGATTCTCACCAAGTAAGATTAATTTCCTACTGAAAATGAACAAAATATACCCAAAATTGTTATTTCCCTATACATGTGTAAACAATAGTAAACATCCCCAAGGGAGAACGGATGACCCGGGGGTACTGCAATTTACAATTAAAATAAAGCCCCTGATGATCTTTCCATCCACGCAGAGAGATTGACTGTAGTACCTCTGAGTCTGGAGAAGATTTTTAAAATATTGGTATATTTTCCCTTAGGGGCTGCGCCCTGGTCCCTGGGGTTAGGGTAGGTATCCCAATTTTACAATTTTGTAGCCTCATCTACCAAGGATGATTTTGACCAAGTTAGAAAAAATTCCATCCACTGGTTCATAAGAATAAGTCGAAAATGTAAAAAGTTTACGGACGACGACGGACGGAAAGCGATCAGAATAGAGCTGTGCTCAAGTGACCTAAAAAAAAGTAGTATAAATATTTTTATAATTATGACCTCTGTGACCTTGAAAGTCAATCAAGGTGTTTTTTTTCAAACTTGGTAGCCAATTACGTGACCATGTTATGTATTAAATATTAGGACTCTACCCTTATAGAACTTTAGAAAAAGTTTTTGAAGTCGTTACCTTGAAATAGCACATATGAAATTTGACTCCTAAATAACTCAAAAACTTGACCTGGTCAACTAAAAATGTTTTCTGCCAAAAATTTGCGCATTGGTGTTGTTCACATCCTACCTGAATATATAGTGAATCTATCGAACAAGTTTCGAAATATTCTTGATTAAAGTGGGTTTTTTTAAACATTTGACCTCTATGACCTTGATTGTTGATAAAGGTCAACCACCTCAAAACCGCTAAAACAATGGCAAAATATGAACAAAGGCAAGATTTACATGGAGACTATTGAAAAAAAAAACCAGAATTCTAGAAAGGTAAGAATCTTTTGCTTCATCGACGACACCTGTTATGTCTATCCAAGAAATGTCACGTCCTCACATCGCGAACTCGCTTAGTGTCAACAAAACCACAAGACTGCATCGCTCTCCTGGTAAAATCTCACAATGGACAATTGACTGAAGCGGACGTAAAACCTGTCGATCAATCAGGCAGGGTCCATGTGTTTTCATCTGCCTCCACTTAGTATAAATATATAGATATAATATATAAATGTTTTCTTTAATTATTTGCACTCAATCAATATTTACATAAAGATTATATATATACTAAAACCAATTTGTTCGCTATAGATGTATTTTTTTAACTTTTTTACACTTGACGGGCCATGAAACAATACAAAACAAAAAACAAAACAGACAATGGAAAGCCCAATTGATTACGTATTTTTTACTGTCATGGTATTCATTAACCAGTCAATAACAAACAAGCTTTTGAGTGAAGATGTATTTTCCTATGGGGACTGAAATGTCCTTCGATGAAACCTGATCAAGCCTTTGTAGCCAGCTGACCACTGTTTGATTGTTTTCCTTTTGCATAACTTTTCAATAATATTCACGACAAATATGTTTATACTACGAGAAATTATATCAGTCTATTACATTATTAACAGTATCTATTCATCTGACATTATAGCTCACCTGGTTCTGAGGTGGAATTATCGTTTTGTTGACACCTTCGTGTTCTCTTGTGTTTTAGGTTATGTCTGTACAACATATTACGAGTCCATTTAAGTCCTCTGCTGAAGTAATTTATTAGGGCTTTTCACCAACAGGTTAAAAGACCTATTGTTTTTGTTCTGTTTCTTCTTCTTCTTCTACTTCTTCTTTTTCTTCTACTACTTCTTCTTCTTCTTCTTCTTCTTCTTCTTCTTCTTCTTCTTCTTCTTCTTCTTCTCCTCCTGATCTTGAGACCAACTTTCGTTCCAAATGATATTAGGTATGTACATGATTTGCCAGGTTGTAGGTAATAGTTTGGAGATGTCATAGCCAAAATTTGAAGTTGATCAGGAATTCAATATGGCTGCCATGACCTATAAAGTGATTTTTTTACAATTTTTCATACAGCCATATCTCCTTAACAATAAATGGTTCTGTATGTGTACTATAATATACTGATAGAGTGTCATCGGGGCTAAATTTGACCCGTGCCATGTTATGAAGAAAAGGGTCAAGTTTAAATTCTCGCCATGGGGTGAAAGGTCACCTGTTTTTAAAACTTTTTCATTTTTTATTTTGTAATCGATAGTAAATGGCTAACCGATCAATTTGATATATTTATTATTTCTGAAACATTTCCCGTTGACGTCGTATAACGTGTTCATTATTGCCTTTGATCTTTTTGAAAAGCCTACAATATTTTTACAAACTTCAACTATCTTTTTCTCCAATTCCTCCATTGCCATATTAACCACAATTGGTACATGTATTTATCTGGGGGCCGTTACCAATTTATGTTACTTTTTGAAGCAATTGATATTCTAAGATGGCCGCCACGAACTCTGATTGATTAACAGCCTCGTTAATGATATCAATCACGAGGTTGATCTTTGGATAACATATTAAGATAAGCAAGGGATTTTTTTTTCTCTCATATCATTTGAGCAAAAAACGTCAACTTCCGGTTTTCGGTAGGGGTCAAAGTTCAAATGCACTATATTGGGTAACAAATTTTAAAAAACACTTCTTCGAAGTCTAGAGTCTAAAACACTTCTTCGAAGTCTAGAGTCTTGATATTTTATATGTAAGGTGCTGAGATGTCCAGCTATCAGACAAATGGTTGACCTTTATCAACTATCAAGGTCATAAAGTTCAAATGATTAAAACAAAAATCTTTAATCTTTAACAACAGATATGAGGTGACAGAAGTCACCGATAAAGATTCACTTACTAAATTATTTAGCTGCACATAGTATTTTTGTTCCTAATTTCTCCTAAATTGCACCGAGTACATTTCTCCTAAATTGCACATAGTACATTTCTCCTAAAGTGCACCTAGAACATTTCTCCTAAATTGCACATAGTACAATTTCCCCTAAATTGCTCCTAGCATATTTCTCCTAAATTGCACATAGTACAATTTCTCCTAAATTGCTCCTAGCATATTTCTCCTAAATTGCACATAGTACAATTTCTCCTAAATTGCTACTAGCATATTTCTCCTAAATTGCTACTAGCACATTTCTCCTAATACATTTCTCCTAAAGTGCACCTAGTACATTTCTCCTAAATTGGAATACACATGACAGGCATGATTTTATATCAACACACTGAACAATCGTTTTGAGTATAAATGTGTGTGTTCCCTTAAATTTTTTACAGATTACACCTAGCGGTGGACTTGTCGTCTGCTTATACACATTGGTTTAATATGCACAGTCTTCACCTCGCATTTAAACACTTATATCGTTAATTTACAGACTCACAACATAATACTACGATCTTATTTGGATCATGTTACAATTTGAGATAATTTACAACCGAATTTCCCGTAACAATAATAGGCACATATTTCGGTGTTCAGCACGGAATTAGATTAGATATATGTTATCTAAGTCCGTGATACAGAGTAGTTTGGTTATCCAGCAGACGATGGCCCCTGCCCCGCCCTAATTAGTTACAAGTCCGAGCCACCCAGTATGCCGATATGTGTGATCTGTTATTTGTAGAGTAGACGGTCGACACCTACCCTCGGTTGCCTCGGTAACGCTCAGTCATTACTACTGTGTGCAATCAAGCGTGAGAGTGATGTCAGATAGGGTTAGTTGTAGTACTAATATTAATACCCGGCCGGCGACGCAATATATAAAATAATCTCTCGTCGTCAGAAAGCTACGTTATCGCAGCTAGGTTAGTTGGTATGATCAGAGACGTAAATACTACATGCTTTATATGTCTCTGGAATAGTTTATCTTCTAAGGTAGTTTTATTCCATTTTCAATCATTCATCGCGTTTCGTTTCGCCTACTTTCAATCCATTCCGTTCCTGTGGGAAAAGCATATTTCGTTCCGTTCTATTCGCGTTTCGTTCCTGTAATGATATATGTGAATTCCGGATATTTGGTCCGACATTATTACGTAACCTTATTGGTTCTAATATTAGTATAAAAAGCACATGTTGGGAGAGAGCTCGCTGCCATCTTGTACCATCATGTTGTACGCTCCAGTGCTCCTGAATAAAAAACCAAGATCTTTGCATTGATGACTTCTACTGATCATTACATGGTGTCAGAACATGGACAACAAACTACCAACGCCGAAGAGTCTGTCATTTTATGGCAACGTATCGGAGAACTGGAGAAGATGGCTACAACAGTACAGACTGTACATGACCGCTACTGCGGGAGATGAGCTGACGGAAAAGAAACAGTGTGCAATGTTTCTAACCCTGGCAGGTGAGACAGCTGTTGAAATTTTTAATAAGATGACATTTGAAGCAAATGAACAGGACAAAATAGCGTCTCTCATAGAAAAATTTACGAATTATTGTTCACCGAAGAAAAACGTAACTTACGAGCGCCACGTGTTTAACTCGAGAGCGCAGAAGAGTGATGAAACATTCGACGAGTTTCTAACAGATTTGAGAATTTTGCAAAAGAACTGTGAATTTGGTGAATTGAAAGATGGCATTTTAAGAGACAAAATTGTTGAAGGAATCCGGAATGATGGACTTCGAGCGAGGTTATTACGTGAAGGTGACCTGAGTCTTCAAAAATGCATTGATTTGTGTAAAGCAGCATCCATGACAGAGAAACACATGAAAACATTAGCCCTAACTGAAAATAAAGAACAGGACGTTGACTACATCAGATCAAGAGGTAAATCGAGATCTAGAGGAACCGGTAGAAATTCTGGTCGGGGGTCGTCTCGAAAGGTAAATACCGAGCATACAGATGGACAGAAGTCAAGATCAACCACGTGTTCTTACTGTGCGATGGTACATAGAGGAAACTTATGTCCAGCGAGAGGTCAAACGTGTCGATTATGTGGGAAAAGAAACCATTTTGCGAAAGCCTGTAAGTCTAAACAGAAAAAAGCTACAGACAAGACAACTCAGCAAGTACATGCAGTGGAGAATTATGAGCATGAGCTATTTATAGACTCTGTTGAATATGTCACATCAAATGTGTGGCTAGCACCACTAGAAGTTCATGGAAACTTGATACCTCTGAAGATTGACACTGGATCCGATGTCAACATTATTCCAAAAGAAGAATTTGATAAACTTCGAAATAAGCCAAGGATCCACAAAACGAAAGTGAAACTAACGGCATACAACGCAGGACAGATAGAGGCTGTAGGACAATGTGTGTGCGAAGTGAAGCATAAAAACAAGAAATATAAAGTCCTATTCATTGTGTGTCCAGGAAATGTCAAGCCCATCATTGGAAGAAAGAGCAGTGAGGCTATGGGACTGGTTAAATTAGTACTCTCGGTAGAAAGGAAACAAAGTATTGTGAATACTGATCACATACAGAAACCGAAAGTGAAAGTAGAGCAACTCAGTAAGGAGAGCATTGAAGAAGACTACTCAGATGTATTTCAAGGATTAGGTTGTCTACCTGGAAAGGTTTCGATTAAACTTCAACCTAATTCAGAGCCAACAATTGATTCATGTAGAAAACTACCTTTCGCGCAGCATGATCAAGTAAAAAAGGAACTGGATCAAATGGTAGAGATGAAAGTTATAGAAAAGGTAGAAAAACCTACGGAATGGGTCAGCGCTTTGGTTATTGTACCCAAACCCAATGGAAAACTCAGACTCTGCTTGGATCCAAGGAACCTGAACAAATACATCAGGAGAGAACATTTCAAACTTCCCACAAGGGAGGAAATTATGTCTAAGTTTGCTGGAGCCAAGGTATTCTCAAAATTAGATGCCTCAAGTGGTTTTTGGCAATTACAACTAGATGAGGACAGCTCAGATTTGTGCACCTTTATAACGCCTTTTGGAAGATATCAGTTCAAGAGGTTACCCTTTGGAATTTCATGCGCACCAGAGATGTATCACAGAAATATACACACACTATTTGAAAATCTCTCAGGAGTAGACACCTCCATGGATGACATCATTATATGGGGAACATCTGTAGAGGAGCATGCTGCACGTGTCAGACAAGTGCTTGAAGTAGCGAGGGAATCGAACCTCAAACTCAACCCTGACAAGAGTGTGATTGGAGTACAAGAACTAACATTCCTGGGTGACACTATAACATCAGAAGGAATCAAGCCCGACAACAAGAAAGTTACTGCGATTGTCGAGATATAGAGGCCTGATGACAAAAAATCACTACAGAGATTTCTTGGTATGATTAATTATCTAGCAAGATTTGTACCAGACCTATCCAGCAGAGCTGTACCACTCAGAAAATTACTGGTTAAAGACAATGCATGGATATGGGAACAACCCCAGGAGAGAGCCTTTGAGGAGCTGAAAACTTTAGTCTCTAATGAGCCTGTGCTGAAATTCTATGATCCTACAAAAGAAATCCGAGTATCAGCTGATGCAAGCCAGACAGGTCTAGGGGCAGTCTTACTTCAAAAACATGACAGTGAATGGTTACCTGTTGCTTATGCTTCAAGGACAGTCACCGAGTGTGAAAGCAGATACGCTACAATAGAACGCGAAGCATTAGCCTTAACTTTTGCGTGCGAGCGCTTTCATCAGTACGTTTACGGTACTACATTTGAGGTTGAAACAGACCACAAGCCACTAGTCGCTATATTTGCAAAGGCGTTTAATGGATGTCCGCCAAGGATACAGAGGATGAGATTAAGGCTTCAGAAGTATGACTTTCGATTATCACATACTCCTGGCAGATATATGTATACTGCAGACACTCTCTCTAGAGCTTCAGTCAAAGATGTTCATGATGATTCAACAAAAGCTATGAACCATGACGTAGAAATGTATGTTGATTGCATCTACAAATCATTACCAGTAACGGATGCGAAACTGGATGAAATACGCAGAGCCACACAACAAGATGGAACTATGAACAGATTGGCTAGAGTGATAGTTGATGATTGGCCTGATGAGAGACATGACTGTACGTCTGATATGTTTCCCTATTGGAACTTCCGTGAGGAACTCACAGTGATTAATGGACTTGTATTCAAAGGAACTCGTATAGTTATTCCGCTGAAACTTCGAAGTGAGATGCTGAAGAAAATACATCATGGACATCTTGGAAGAGAAAAGTGCAAGAAACGTGCAAGTGAACTGCTGTTCTGGCCCAACATGAACTTTGAGATAAACAGCATGGTTGAGAACTGTGATGTGTGTCAGAAATTTGCGATGAAACAGCAAGCAGAACCACTGAACCCTACACCAGTATCCAAATCAGCATGGGAACATGTGTCAACAGATTTGTTCTCATTAGAAGGCAAAGACTACATTGTGACATGTGACAGTTTCTCAAACTACCCGGAGGTTCTGTTGCTACCTAATCAGACTGCAACATCTGTAATCAATGCTTTAAAAAGCATATTCTCGCGCCATGGTGTACCACAAGTACTCACCAGTGACAACGGTCCATGTTACAGCTGTAAAGAATTTAAAGATTTTGTGAAGGAATGGGATATCAAGCATGTTACCAGTAGCCCCAGATACCCACAGTCAAATGGACTAGCAGAAAAAACTGTACAGACCGTAAAGAACATTATGAGAAAATGTAAAGAAAGTCAACAAGACATTCATATGGCATTACTCGTGTATAGGACCACACCCCTTGACAATGGCTTATCACCAGCTGAACTGTTGATGGGTAGACGTCTCAAGTCAAACTTACCAGAAGCTAGAGTTGATGTCAAGAGAGTCGACAGGATGTCAGATGTCATTAAGTGGCGTGAAGGACAAAATAATCGTCAGAAATACTACTATGATCGTAGAAATCATGTTAAGTCTCAAGATAAACTTACACCGGGGGACCAGGTTCGAATCCAAGAGCCACAGTCTTGGTCAGATCGCGCTTCAGTTGTCAGCGAAGTTGGTCCAAGATCATACTTGATTCGTAGAAATCGTAAACATCTCAAGTTGATACCAGATGTTAAAACTGATGATGATGTAATCAAAGTACAGGAAAGTGAAAGATGTGAACCAGATCAGACCCATGTTTCTGATCATGAAGATGAAGTCAAACCGGCACCAGTTATACAGCCTGGTAGAACCAAATCAGGAAGAACTATCAATAGGCCACAAAGACTCATTGAACAGTGTTAAAAAGTTTTAATTTCTGTTGAACTGTTTAACTGAAAGTTTAAATTTGTGTTCAATATATTTCATATGATTTAGTGTATGGACTTTAAGTAAAGGTTCATTTTATCTTCAAACGTGATAGTGAAGAAAATCAAAAAGACTGAATAACATCATTATATATTTTAATTCTCTTTATTGATACAGAGATTTCAGTGAATTCCATATAAAGATAATCAATATTCAGTGCTATAAGTTAAATCAGAAAAATTGTGCATTTATTCTTGGTGAAGGGATGTAATGATATATGTGAATTCCGGATATTTGGTCCGACATTATTACGTAACCTTATTGGTTCTAATATTAGTATAAAAAGCACATGTTGAGAGAGAGCTCGCTGCCATCTTGTACCATCATGTTGTACGCTCCAGTGCTCCTGAATAAAAAACCAAGATCTTTGCATTGATGACTTCTACTGATCATTACAGTTCCAAACAGTGAAACTATTTTCGTTCCGTTCCGTTAAGGCCTTGTTTCATTCCATTTTCATTCCGTTCTCGTTGCATTTTCATTGCGTATTCATTCAATTCCGTTTGTCAACTCAGAGACGTATATACTACAGATTTATATGTCTCTGAATGGGAACAGCAAATCAGTTTTTGTTTCTTCTATGTCACGTGACCTAGCAGAAGACACGGAAGATAACCCATCCCCGATTCTGCAGGGGCCGCACTCATTAGTCGCCTTTTACGTCATACAGAAAGATAAAACAGACCTTTTCTTTCCCCGAACATGCAGTGGGTTATATTCCATCGAATACATATAGGTTAACTAAAATTGATCAAACATGTATGAGGAGTTGAATATGCTTTCGTACTGGAACGATTTGCTGCCTTCGGCAATGTAATTTATTTATCAAACGGGCCGTGTAATAGCATGACAAGAGAAAATATTCCACAGATTGAAGTTTTAAGACAGCTACATACGACATACGATGTGAAATATTCTAAGTGTAATAACTTTTTAGTATCAATTTTCATCATTGGAATGCTATTCATTTGTGGTAACACTGGATACTTCAACTAACCTCGTTGATATAGAAAAAAACATTACACTTTTTTCTTTTATTTTCATTGATCAGACAGTGCCAATAAATAGTTTTAACCTATCTAAAAACTCGTCAGTAGTTATCAGAATTATATCGTTGTCCGATTAAATGGTAAAGGATTCTATCTGGAATATGGCAAACGTTTGTGGAATAATGTTAATCTTTTTGTGTGAATGCTTTGGATCAGGTAAGTTAGACTCTTTAATAAGTATTAATAAGTTTATTTCCTTTGTCATGTTTTCGTTGCCCTTGCTCCCTGACGCCTTTTGAACAGGGAAGCAGGATAGCAAAAATTGATATGTTTGCCTTAGATACTGAAGTTTCACAGATGGTAAATTGCTCTTACTGTAAAGTAAATCGCTCTTTCTTTACAGTGAATTGCTCGTTCTTTACAGTGAACTGCTCGTTCTTCACAGTAAATTGCTCTTTCTTTACAGTAAATCGCTATTTCTTTACAGTATCTTGTTCGTTCTTTACAGTAAATCGCTCTTTCTTTCCAGTAAATCGCTCTTTCTTTACAGTAAATCGCTCTTTCTTTACAGGTAATTACTCTTTCTTTATAATATCTTGTTCGTTCTTTACGGGAAATCGTTCTTTCTTTACAGGTAATTACTATTTCTTTATAATATCTTGTTCGTTCTTTACGGGAAATCGTTCTTTCTTTACAGTAAATCGTATATTTTTTACAGTAAATTGCTCTTACTTTACAGTAAACTGCTCAGTCGCGTATTCTCCTTTCAAAGGTATTCTCTCCCCTTCATTGTCAGTCATTTTACTTTTATAATTATATAGTCTGTCTTTAACTCAATCTCTCTTCCATTACAGTACGGCATTCTGCCTTCATAGTTCTATCTCTCTACCTTCAGTTTTTTCACCCTAGTTTTACAGTCCATCGCTCCCCCTTCACTTTTCCTCACAGTTCTATACCTCTATGCCTAACTTTTGACTTTTATTTCGGTGAATATGCGGTTATATGGACCTAAAAATGATGTTAACCTCAGCTTCGTCACGATCAATACCTCTGTTGCAGTTTCATATAACTACTTGTCCACTGATAAATAATATTCCGTGGGTACTGTAATGAACCTGTTCCGAGAAAATGTTATCAATCCAGCGTACTAGCTCACGCGGCCGAAACGGCCTCATGCAATAAAACAAGTGCCGACAACTACCTTTGGCTATAAGCTTGATCTCAATCGTAGCCCATTTAGTTCAGACGTCTGTTTTCTGTCACATACATTTATTTTGAACGGCGAAGGTGCTACAGTTTTCATATTATGCACGTTTAAATCTGCAATCTGCTTAATGTATTCCTGTTTCAAAAATAAATCGTAATCCAGTTCACGATGATAACAGATGGAAATCGTGGTATATTGCAATATTGTTTTCACATCAGTCTATCTTGTTTAAATGTTTTAATATATTTCTACATATGGGCTGAATTATTTTGATGTAAATGAGCATGCTACGACATTCAAACGATCATTTTCAAACTCAAATAATTTCATTGTTAAAAGATAACTGAATTGGGCAACAGACAAAGAATATTTAGGCTATCTCCAATTATTATCATTAATATTTGTTTAATGTCAATTTTGTATTAGTATTACCTCCATTGGTGTTGATTGTTTTGGACCATGGCAAGTATCATCACGTCGTACAAGGGATGGACAGGCCAACTCCAAGCGCTGGGCCGTACTGTTTACATGTCTGACGACAAGAGCGGTCCACATTGAAGTTATTGAGGAAATGAGTTCCTCTTTCTTTATTGATGCCTTGCGTCGCTTCACTGCCATACGAGGGAAAGTAAAAGTCTACAGATCGGGCCAGCAGAAGATCTTGCATTAATGTTGAAAGTAATGGAATGAGGAACTTTTTTTCCTCTGATGGTTCTACATGGAAATTCAACGCTCCACATTCCTCGCATATGGGAGGAGTGTGGGAGCGTATGGTAGGCGTGACGAGA